TAATCCAGGGCTGCTGGTCTGAGGAGATGGCTGAGAAGAAAAGGACACGTACTAACCCCCCAACCCAAATTCCCTCTCCTTCAAAACATGATTCTCCTGTCTTTTATGCCTAGGAACAGGAGACTTTATTAACTTCGGAAATCAAAGGATTGAAGGGAAATGCACAAAATATGGAGATTTTTTTCTTTTGAGGCCAGTTAGCCTTTCCACCCTTTCAGATCACCCCTAGCTTTAAGAAAGTTATTTTTTTAACTTACTCTCTTACTAACTCATAATCATGTCACATGAATTTATATTTCTATAGTTTATTGGAAATCACTGTGGGCTTTTGTTCGTTTTTGCATTGGCTTTTAACTCCCAATTCTTTCATAAAGAATATTAAAGATATAGGACATGTCCTAAGCAAGTACCCAAACCTCCCCCTGATTGTGTTACCTAGTGTCAGAAGTCACCAAACACCTGTTTTTTTTTCCAGCAACTATCACTCCTGCAATCATAATTCAGTCTTTCTTAGTTAAAAAAAAAAATCCATGGATTCTACTGCCAGAGAACTTGTACTTGAAGTCAGGAAAGGTGAACACATATGCATCCTGACTGACGGGCTGGAACTCTTAGGGCTATTTCAAGCTCATTTGTATCAGCAGATACCCCCACAGGGTGGGGTTAGGGGAGTGAGTTCTCTCTTTGCCTCTCTCCAGGAGAACTGCATCCCTGAACTAAGAACAAACACCATACTCACAGCATGAGCTCTGGGTTCTGGTCCCAGCCATCATCCAGAGAATGTTCAGGAGACAGAGGGCAAGCCGGGCCATTTTGCACTCTTCTGTCTAGTCCACATCTCCTGGTCCGAAGATAGCAGTGTTTACAGGTCTGCCTTTTCTTATATGTGCTTATCTTTGTCAAATAGTTTGGTTCTCTCTCAGCCAATCCTCACTACCTATGCTGACCTTATCTACTCTGATATATTAATTTCCTTCTGCTTATCTAAGTTTACCTACTGTGCAGTCCTCTATGGTGTCTGATGGACGACAACTTGTAGGCAGGACAATCATAGGAGAAACTTGGGGCTGAGTATGCTGTGAACATAATGACAAGGAAGTGTCTTTTACTAAGTAAGGGCTGGGAATGTAGCTCAGCGGTAAAGTGCTTGTCTATCATGTGCTAAGGCTGTAGGTTTGATTCCCAGTAATGGGGGGAAAAAACTAAGACTTCCTTTCATCAAATTTCTGGGTTATTATATTGGGGAATGTAAAGTAATTCCTCCAGGACATTGGGACATTTGGAATGTGTTGGTATCAACAAGATTTCTTCTAGTTTTGCTTTGTTTATCCATATGATATAGCCTCTTGGATGTTTAACTGCAACTACTTCATTTCCATTTGATTGTCAGGTATTATTAGCTCCATATGTTAGTCCAAGGCCTTGCTTTATCCTCTCAGGTGGATATCTCTGCCTTCAGGTAAAGTCTGACTTCATGCAGTTAATTTAGTTTACTTTGATCTGGGTTCTGGCCCAGACTCTTTGAAGGTTTTTTTTTATTTTGACACATTGTTTTGTTTGCTTTTCCTTATCCAGAGATTGGAAACAGCCTTCAACAACTAGGGCCTTTGGGTAAAATATTATCTGTGAAAACTAGTACATGTTTAAAGCAAATTAATACCTCCTCATAGAAGAGAATTGTAACCACTGTCCTGAAATTATGAAGAAAAAAGGCTGATTCTTTTTAGCATGTTAAATAGTTCCTGTTAGTGGAGGAAATTATCCAGGAGCTCCCATTTTTTAGGATGAAATTCAAAGTCCTCAGTTACTTGCAGGACTCTAAAAGTCATGGCTTCTGTTTTCCTTCGTTACCGAATTTCCTGACAGCTTTTCCACCTGCGTACCCTGCTCCAGGCATATTCTCTTGCGTCGGGAAAACTTCAGCCACCTTTGCAGTTGATTTCCCCTTTACCCAGGATCTCCTTCAAGACTCTGCCCCAAGGGAATCTTTTATTTATTTATTTCCTATTGAGAGGTCTTATTTTTATTAGTGTATATTACTTGTACAAGGGAGTCTCGTCTTTTCCACACATGCCTCTAATTTACTTTGATCATGTTCAGCCCATCCTCTTCCCCTCCCCACTTCCTCCTTCTGTTCTACCACCCCTGCCCAGCAAGCGAATGATGTGATTTTGTTATTCTTTATGGTTGAATATATTCCTGTGTGTGTGTGTGTGTGTGTGTGTGAGATTTTCTTTATTCATTTGGCTTACGCTAGGGCAATTCCACTGTGTGAGGCTGTTTTGAATAGCACTCCGATACACATTGGTATGCAGGTGCCTCTATTGTACCCTGACCTGCATTTCTCTAGATACATGTCCAGCGTGGTCCAGCAGGACCCTAGGGTAATCCTACATTCAGTTTTTACTGTGGAGCCGCCATACTCATTTCTTCTTCTTCTTTTTTTTATTGTGAACATACTGTACAGAGGGGCTACAATTACATGGGCAAGATAATGAGTACATTTCTTATCAAGCATTGTAGCCTCCTCCTTTGTTTACCCTTCCCATCCCTTCCTAGCCTCCCCCCGCCCCCCTACCCAATCATACCCCCTCACCAAAGTTGTAAAGTTCGTTTTCGACATGACAACTTGTACTTCTCATTGCTGCAACGGGTCGACCTGTATCCTTATTTAAACGACTTGTTTTTCCCCTTCCCCTCCACAAATTATACCGACATCAAATACAGTGAAAGCAGGGGTTATACTGTGGGGGAGAGACAAACAAAGCAACAAAGAAATAATCTTATAAATGCGTTAGAAACAAATGCATGAAAGAAAAAAACATTTAAATACATATCTTAGGGTTCATATTCCTAACATCACCTTATCTGACCTTTTCTGCTTGACTCATACATATACTAGATATTGTAAGTAAGGGAAATCATGGGACCTATGTTTCTTTGGGCTTGGCTTACTTCACTTAATATAATTTTTTCCAAGTCTTTCCATTTCCTAACAAATTGGTTGATGTCATTCTTTCTGATGGAGGCATATAATTCCATTGTATATATACCACATTTTCTTGATCCATTCATCTACTGAGGGGCATCTGGGTTGGTTCCATATCTTAGCTATGGTAAATAATGCTGCAATAAACATAGTTGTGCTGGTAGCTTTAGTGTGGTCTTGTTTGTAAACATTTGGGTAAATGCCCAAAAGTGGGATTGCTGGGTCATAGGGAGCTCTATGTGGAGTAATGCTCAACCTCCCTAGCCATAAAAGAAATGCAAATCAAAACAACATTGAGATACCACCTCACCCCAGTTAGAATGGCTATAATCAAGAACTCTAATAACAACAGATGCTGGAGGGGATGTGGACAGAAGGGAACCTTACTGCATTGTTGGTGGGAGTGTAAACTTGTTCAACCACTTTGGAAAGCAGTATGGAGGTTCCGCCATACTCATTTCTATAGTGGTTGTACTGATTTCTATTACTACCCGTGTGTATAAGGGTTCCTTCCTCCACACCCAGCCTTTGAGTGTCCGCCCATTAAATGTACATTTCCTTTAAGTTGTCAAGCCCGGTCCCACGTCTACAAAGCCCTGCATCTCTTAACTGATGCAATTTTGATAACCCTTAAGGTATGTGTTCACTGTAGACTTAGTTATTACTATTTAATTATTTATTTAGACTATGTAGCCCCGGCTGGCTTTGGATTGGTGACCCTTCTGCCTCCGTCTCTGAATACTGGAATTACAGGCGAGCACCACCATGCCCAGATTCCCTGGGGTTATTTATTTGTTTGATTGGTTGACATCCTACTCCCCAGAATCCCTTTCCACATATCTTCACTGGGACTCCCCACTGCCGTGGTGTCTCTGCCCAAAGGGAAGCTTTGAGAGAGGCCTTTCTAGCTTCATCTCTGAGAGAGGTCTATCCCTACACGGTGGCCCCTCCTCCCGCCACGACCCCGGGAGCCCTGCACTTGCTGACCCTCCTCACCCCAGTCACACCGTGTGCACTTGCTTATTGTGTCTCCTTCCTCTCTAGAATGTGTGTTTCACAGAGGTGCAGCTGTGTTGGTCATTTTCACTTCCCTATCCCCAGCACTTGTGAGCGAACTAACAAGCAAATACAAGATGTGAGCTCTAAAGCCCTGTTTTCTTTCTTAGGGAAGTTGGTGGTTGCTGCGAGCACAGGGATTGTATTGGGGTGGGCTCGATGGCCTCTACCGTGCCCTGTGCCGCTCTTCATGTCCACTCACAGTCCCCTGGGGTCGTACGAGTTGCCACACTTGTGGGGAATGTAAAGCAGCAAGAGTGATGGGTTGAAGTTATGGAGGACTGACTTCCATATTGCTTATATTCTCTCTCTCTCTCTCTCTCTCTCTCTCTCTCTCTCTCTCTGGTTCTTCTTGCTCTTGCTCTGGTAAAACAGGGTGTGAGGTTGTGTGCTGATGGGGTGAAGAGCTGAGAGGGGGTGTCCAGCCAGCACCAAGGACAGAGAGGAACACAGCCGTGAGTGGACCCAACTCATTAGACATGGGGTCCAATCTCTCTTCACTTCATTTCTCCCTGAGATTGTATCTCCTCTAATAACCTTTTAAAAAATGAGCTGGGCACCAGTGGCCCATGTCTGTAATCCTAGCTACTTGAGAGATCTGAGAAGCAGAATCAAAGTTCAAAGCCAGACTGGACAGACAAATACAAGAGACTCGCATCTCCAACTAACTAGCAAAAGTCCAGAGCTGAGACATGGCTTAAGCTGGCTGTGACCAAGGCAGGGAAGCAAGGGAGAAGGAGAAGACTATTTCAAACCTCCACGTTAGCATTCCCCCCATCCTGCACCAATGAACTCAGGACGTGCTTTGTTTTTGCAGTTGATCTTTTTATTGAGCAGACACACACACACACACACACACACACACACACACACACACACACACACACACACACACACAGAAACAGAGAGAGACACAGAGAGAGAGAGAGACAAAGAGACAGAGAGACAGAAACGGGGGGAGGGAGGAAGGGAGGTTGAGTCTCCTATTGAATTAAGATAAATGAAAAGGAAGGCACAAGACCATTTTCTGTGTGGGTCTCACTACAAAAGGTACATCCCAAGGAAGGTCTGAGTTTAGTATTTGCTCCAAAGGACCTCTAAATTGTCTCCGTTATGGACAACATAGCTACCAACCCCTGCAAAGAAGAAGAAACAAAATTAGGTCAAATGACCAATCACAGAATCACCAGATAATAAATAGTATATATCTCCCAACCTCATTAAAGGCCTTTCCCCCTTAAAAGCTCACAGCCTCACACACGAACACCTGTGGATCCTTCTGCTCCATTTCCTCCTTACCTTGACTGAGTGGCTTGCCCCCACTCAGAAGTTGCCAGTAGGTTCTGTCGTTATTGTTGGCAGTTAGGCCCTGAACAGATGTGATATAGGGCCCCCATTCCTCCTGCTCCACTGTGAACCTGGGAGGGACAGGAAGTAAGTTGCGGGAACTTAGGGTTTTCAAAGAAAATCCTTCATACACTGAAAAAAAAAAAACCTTAAAGCTGAGCATTCTGGCTCAAACCTATAATCCTAACTACTTGGGAGGCTGACAGTGGGTGGGGGGTCACAATTTGAGGCCACCTGAGGTGGGGGAGAGCACAAGGCTCCATCTCACTGAATGGCTGGGCACAGTGGTGACTGGCTATCATCCCTAGTGACGTACAAAGTACAAGAAGGAGGATTACAGTCCTGGGCCAGCCCAGGCATCAAGCGAGACCCTACTCATGGTGAAAACAGATCTGGATGCATGCGTCCAGTGGTAGAGGGGCTGCCTAGCAAGTGCAAGGTGTGAGTTCGATCCCCAGCACCACCAAAACGAAATCAAAACCCAAGCACCACTTGGTAACATGACAAAGAAGGCAACCAGATGTCCTGGCTCTGTCTCCAGACAACTTGACTTTCACATTTGTGCTGGGACCCAGGGAGCTGCATGTTTTCTAAGCACTCTTGGGATTTTGATTCCATGCTCATTTGCAGGCATGATGTCTGTGGTCTCTGCCTACCTGACCTCCATGGTGGATACTTGGCTGTTAGTGGCCTCAACCTTCTACTTAATAAATACATATTGCGTTTATTAGATGAGAGATACTTAGTTAACTCTTCTTATTTTCTCTACAGCATCATACACCAGATGGTGAAAAAATGTCAACTAGATTTGAGAAGCCAAGTAAATAATATTTTTCAGAAGCAAAGTCAGTAACTTAATTTTAATATTTAGCCTCTTTAGGCCAAGGAACACTTATTAAAATGTTCATGAATACCCTGAGAGGAACACAGAGAGACTTAGAGCTCTGGGAAATTCCCACTTTCTTTCTCTCTTTCCTTCTCCCTCCCTCCATCCCATCCCCCTTCCTTCCTTCCTTCTTCCTTCCTTCCTTCCTTCCTTCCTTCCTTCCTTCCTTCCTTCCTTCCTTCCTTCCTTCCTTCCTTCCTCTCTCTCTCTCTTTCTCTCTCTTTCTTTCTTTCTCTCTCCCTCCCTCCCTCCCTCCCTCCTTCCCTCCCTCCCTCTCTCTCTCTCTTTCTTTCTTCCTTTCTTTCTTGTTGGTCGTGGGGCTTGAACTCTGGGCCTTGGTGCTGTCCTCAGTTCTTCAGCTCAATTGGAGCACTTTACCACCTAAGCCACAGTACTGCTTCCAGTTTTCTGGTGGTTAATTGGAGATAAGAGTCTCACAGACTTTCCTGCCAGGGCTGGCTTTGAACCATGATCCTCAGATCTCAGCCTCCTGAGTAGCTAGGATTACAGGTATGAGCCACTGGCACCTGGAGAAATTCCCACTTTAAATGTCACATTTTGTTTATGTTCATTTTTCTGAGATGTTTGTTCATAGCATTTGTCTGGAATTTTTTTCAAAGGATAGCAATCGTTCTAAAATAGTCTCAGGGCTTCTAGATATAAAATGCCTGATTTAAAGTGTTCTATTTATTGAACTCTTGCCAAAGACAAGGGAGAGGCCTGGAATTCATGCATCTGTTAATAGGGATTATGTGGTAGGAGACATCACCTCATCTTTTTAGCATCCACGGTGGCATGTGATGGGAGCAATGGTGCTGATCTAGAGGCATTTGACATGTCCTTTGGTTCTGGTGTTCTGTTCTTACCAGGGCATCAGATTTGCAGTAAACCCTTTAACATTAGGTTATATTCAGGCATACCGAAACAAAGTCCCATTCTCCTTCTGAGCTTCCTTCATCACATCCAGAAAGACCGAACCACTTGGCACTGTGACATCTATGGAATAGGTTTTGTTGATCTTCACAGAGTAATGCACAGAGATCAATGAGGGCGAATAAGTGGGTATCACAGTCGTAGGCACTGGGATGGAGAGGGGAGAGTTACCTGGCAGAGACAGAAAAAGAGGGAGAAATTGAATAATAAAAAAGAGAGTACCAGAGTTGGCCTAGGTATCCATTTTCTAGCCCAGGACTACTTTCCTTTATCAGAGATGGATTTGGAAGCAGGAACAAGTATCGTTCATCGAGTGACGGATCTCTCATAGCTATTACCAGAGGCTCACTGGCTTGTGAGTCTTGTGTTTGGCTTGACTTCCAGCCGTTTAAACCATTATTCACCTCAGTGCTATATCTCACATGAGGTCCTAATTTCTTTTTCTTGTTGTTTTGCTTTGGCACAGAATCCACTAATGGCTTGCCATTTCCCCCCACCCCCACCCCTTTCTTTTTCTTCTTAGCATTTACTGAGAACATACTAAGGACCAGACACTGTGCTAACACCTTTATGTGGATTATCTCATCTGATACTTTATAAAAAAAACTTCTTTGTTTTTATTTGTTAGAAAATGGAAACTTAAAGTTTAAACACTGTTGGTTGCTGGTGGCTCACGTTTTTAATCCTAGTTACTCAGGAGGCTAAGATCTGAGGATCATCGTTCAAAGCCAGATTGGGCAGGGAAGTCTCTAATTAACAACCAGAAAACTGGAAATGAAGGTGTGGCTGAAGTAGTAGAATGCCAGCCTTGAGTGAAAAGGCTAATGGGCAGCTTTCAGGCCCTGAGTGTGTTAGAGTTGTGTGCTCATGCATACACACACATACACACAGAGTAGGTGTGTTTGCCCAAAGTCCCTGATCTATAAGTGGCAGAACAAGGAATAAATCAAGGTTAGAGGAAATAGATCTTCTCTACCTCATTACACAATTATTTATTTGAACAAATGATTCCTGCTGCATTTTGTTAGAATCCTTTCTATTCCTTCTATACAGATGTCTTATTTTCCAGAGGTATCACTAAGCATGAATCAAATAATGGAAGGTCAGAAACATGATTCCTACAAATGGAAATCGTGTTCAGATTTTTCAGTATCCAACCGTTAGAAGACATCCATTTAGAGATACACATCCTTTGCTCAAACCTACCTTGACGATTGATGTTTGAACCAAGACTATTGCTCATTATCCTCAATTGGTAGCAACCCTTGACGACGTAATGAGAAATGAATTTTCTCTGGGAGCTGTTTGGCTTTCTTTAGAAGCTTGTCCAGTCACTGTCCCAAAGCCTACCTACGTCTCACAAGCTTTGGGAGTGATGCTGAAAGTTTCCCCTTTAGTGCTTATACTAAACCATACGTACAAGGCGAGTCTTTGGTCACATCCAAGTAGGTCTTTCCTAGCAGGGAAGGTAAGATCTGGGCTGCAGCAGCAGGAATATTGAATGCTCCCTGGGAAATTTCATTGAGTATTGAATTGCGAGTTTCTTGGCAGTCCCATTCACTTTCACTGTAATACTCTGATGAGACAAAGAGGGCCTAATGTGAGACAAAAAGAGGAGAGAGTATGAGAGATGGCTTACATAAGGGTAAAAGCTTCATCTAACTCATCATGTATTTATTGGTCATTGGCGATGCAGGAGTCATGTTAAATGATTAAGATACGTTTCTTGCGATCAAGAAGCTTATGAAGTAGTTTGAGTGGGGAGGCGAGGGATCTGCTGAATAACACAAGCTACAGTGGTTCTGTGGAGAACCAACTTTATTCTGCCACATTCATGTCTTCCCAACACGGGAAAATATAAGAAGTGTCATATAAGAAGTGCTCAATGACTCTGCTTCACACACACACACACACACACACACTCTAGTAAAAAGAGCCCTGGGATGAATGTCCTAAGAGAAAGATCTAAAATGAGGATAAGGAAAGGCTTTGTTGGAGAAAGTGGTAGTTGGGGCCACCTTGATGGTAGGGTGGAAGTTTGGCAGGTGAAATTTGGGCAGGGAGCTGTGCACTCAGAGAGGAAAAAGCATGAGCAAAAGCTTAAGGGAAGGGTGAAGACATGGTTTGTCCACTATGAGGATATATGCACTGTAAAGAAATCTCCAGAGGCTTCTTCCTTGTCTAGGAAGAACACTCAGGCTGTAGAAAGAAGTTGGGGCAGAAGAGAAGAGCTGTAGAAGAAAGTTCAGCCAGGCTGGTAGATGTTGAGTCTCAAGGGTGAGATGTATGATCCAAATTGGCTGACAATGGAGAATTGAATAGTTTGCTATTCAGGCAGTGGGATGAACACTTACTTGTGAGGTCATAGTTAGAAGAGGGTTAATACTAATCAAGACAAAGTTGGAATAGTTTGCAGCTTGAATATATTGCTCTGTAGTTTCCCAGAGAAAGGTAGTTTTCCTTTTTTACTTTCTTTCTTTTGTTTGTTTTCTTTATCTGAGACCAGGGTGCAAATTCAATACTGGATGCTTTTACTCATTCACTACTGCCCTGCTAATGGAGCCACCCCTCCATCCCTCCCTCCCTCCCTCCCTCCCTCCCTTCCTCCCTCCCTCCCTCCCTTCCTCCCTCCCTTCCTCCCTCCCTCCCTTCCTCCCTTCCTTCCTTCCTTCCTTCCTTCCTTCCTTCCTTCCTCCCTCCCTCCTTCCCTCCCTCCCTCCCTCCCTCCCTTCCTTCCTTCCTTCCTTTCTCTCTCTCTCTGTTTCTCTCTCTTCCTCCCTCCCTTCCTCCCTCCCTTCCTCCCTTCCTTCCTTTTCTTTCTTTCTTTCTTTTTTTTTTTTTTTTGTCAGTCGTGGGGCATGAACTCTGGGCCTGGGCGCTGTCCCTTAGCTCTTCAGCTCAAGGCTAGTGCTCTACCACTTGAGCCACAGTGCCACATCCGGGTTTCTGGTGGGTTTTTTTTTTTTTTTTTTTTTTTATTAGAAATAAGAGTCCCATGGCCTTTCTTGCCCGGGCTGGTTTTTGAACCAGCCTCAGATCTCAGCCTCTGTAGTAACTAGGATTACAGGCATGAGCCACCAGTACCCAGCTCTACCCCTTCTTTTCATCTTTTCTTCCTTGGAGGTTTTCGTAGCTTGTTGACTACCTACATATTAAAGACTATCTTAAAAACTATGTTGTAGACAAGTTGCTCTAAAGTCTGTGGCACAAGAATATCACCTGTAGGACTTTTCCATAAGATGCCATTTCTGTATTAACGGGCTTCCGTGGACTTTATAGGTAGGTGTGGTCTAAAAGCTCCTTCTACAGATTCGAATGTACATCCCTGATGGGAAACCACTGTTTTACATTACGTTCATTTTTAGCAAGGCAAACCAATGACCTTCAATGTCTGCTTACATTACAGGTTTTGTCCTGTAAGCTTGCCCAAGGGTCCTGCGTTGGCCCTGCTGAATATGTCATGTTGACCTCATGACTTTCAGTCTTTGTTCTTGCTGTCCTTTCTCCTGTGAAAGTCCTGTCACCCTGAGTCAGCCTGGCAAATGCTTATTCATAGTAATGACTCAGTGAATTCCCACCCCCCAAAAAAACCTCCCCCCATAGATCTTTATATCCATCCCTTCAAGTTGAGTGAATTATTGAGTACAGACTTAAATGAAGGCCAGAGTTCAGAAAATATGTGTATGATAGTGTTAACTTCTTATCTCCATCCATACCATTTTCTGTCTTCGTAAAATCAGACAAGCTGTGCCCCGTGACTCATGTTCCCTCCTTTCTTCAATGTATCATAATGTGCCTTCAATACTGGAAACCTCCTGGTGAGCTCTACAACCAGGGACTGATCATCTGGTTGGGAAGGATGATGGATACACAGTACAATGGCTCATGGTCGTGTGGAATTGCATGTGAAAGAACACGATGGGTGATAGTGGACTGTCAGATTTCATAAAGAAACTCTAGGTAGGAAAAGCTTTATAGAAGAACTGGGATGGAAAAATAGATATTAAAAGTAAGAGTTGAATCCAGGTGCTGGTGGCTCATACCTATAATCCTAGCTACCTAGGAGGCTGAGATCTGAGGATCTCAGTTGAAAGCCAACCAGGGCAGGAAAGTCCTTGAGACTTTTAATCTTCAATTAGCCACCAGAAAATCAGAAGTGGAACTGTAGCTCAAAGTGGTAGAGCACTAGCCTGGAGCAAAAGAGGTCTAGGACAGTGCCCAGGTCCTGAGTTCAAGTCCCATGAAATAAATAAGAGCTGGAGGCATGGCTCAAGCCCTGCAGTGCTTGCATAGAGTCAGAAAAAGAAATAGATTGAAGGTAAGAAGACTGTATTTCAGGCAGGAGAGGGGAAATCACACAAGCAAAATCCAAATTAGCATAGGAAACACATAATGGAGAGGAAGATCATGGGAGACGGAGAAGAAAAGATCAAGGCATTGCTTCCCTCCACAACTCCCATCTCCTCCTCCCGTTGGACTTACTTGCATAGCTGCTCCTGTACTAAACATGTTTCCAATGAGACCATTTTCTTTTTTCTCAGACAGAATCATTTTTACCAGTGAGCGGATATGATTTTCAATGCTCTCTAGATCCTCTTCCTGTGCTTTGGGCTGTTCCTTCAGACTCCTGCTCACACATGTCAAAGCCAGCACGGCCATAGCTCCTGTATCTGTCAGGAAGCAAAATGTTGGTGACAGGCTGACTAGACATCCTATTTTTTTCATGGACTGAATGGTTTCCTAGGATGCAGGATTTTCAGGACTAAAAAAAGGGAGAGATTTGTGAAAATGGGAATGTTAGTGGTGGTAATTGATGATGGCAGAGAAGAATTTCAAGACCTAACAGCCATACCTGGGCCTTAGCTCCTTAAATACAATTCAGTTCCTTGTGTGGAGTTGACATGATTCCCATATTTAATATTTCATCATATGGCCATGAGAACACCTACTCACAAACAGCTTTCTACACGTAGATTGTTATGGTTCTCAAGTTTTCCATCTTTTATATCATTCTTTCAGCCATATTGGTAAAGGAATTAAGAAGCTCTATTTGAGGATGATAAATCCAACAGAATATCTGCAAAGGTGTGTTCCGCTACAAAGAAATACTTTGCAAAGTCCTTTAGAAAATGACACTTAGGGCTGGGAAGGTGGCTCAGTGGTAAAGTGCTTGCCTTGCATGCCTGAGGCCCTGGGTTCGATTCCTCAGTACCACATAAGCAGAAAAAGCCGGAAGTGGTGCTATGGCTCAAATGGTAGAGCGCTAGCCTTGAGCTGAAGAGCTGAGGGACAGCGCCCAGGTCCAGAGTTCAGGTCCCATAACCAACAACAAAAAAAGAATATGACAATGGAATTATTCCCCAATAAATCTTCTTAAGGGAGTGGACAAGGTAAGAGATGGGAAGAAGGGAGAAAAAAAAGGACTTTTATTTTATTTTGACAGTTGGACTCTCTGTTGTCCTTTAGTGTGGTGCCTTCTTTCTTTTTTTCTTTTTTCTTTTTACAGGAAAAGGAGTATGAAAAAAAATCTCCTGTGCTCCTTACTCCATAGAAAAACTGAATGGTGATTTAGTTTGAACATCTTGAAGAAAGATGAACTTGTGTATCTGGATTCATAGTGGCTGAGAATAAATGCTGCTTGTCCAGGCTGAACTTCTTTTAGCATCATACTCTACCCTTATTTTATAAATGGGCAAATTCACGTCAAGGACTGGGTTGGAGCCAGGACTTTCTATTGTGCTAGACATCTACAAAGAGACTTCATTGCCACGCATCACCCATATTCTCCCCAAATAAATTCTCTCCTGAAAGCTTTTGAGAAAAGAAGGTAGAAACAAATTCAAGTCATTTTTCTTTTTTGAGTTTGGTCATGGGCTTGAACTCAGGGTGCTGTCCCTGAGATCTTTCATTCAAGGCTAGTGCTCCACTACTTTGAGCCACAGCACCTCTTCTGGTTTTCTGGTGGGTAACTGGAGATAAAGAGTCTCATGGACTGGCTTTGAACTGTGATCTTTAGATCTCAGCCTCTGAGCAGCTAGGTGTACAGGTGTGAGCCTCTGCTGCCTGGCTAAATTCAGGTAATTGCTGAAGATAAACTCAAAAGGCAAGGATGACTGATGCCTATGTCGCCTATATCCAGGGAATTAGGTTTAATGACTCACCTACTGAGAACTGGCCACCAAGGTAATAGTTTTTGTTTTCAGGAGCGAAGAGTTTAGCAACTGTGGTGGTTGAATACGTTCTATTGAACAGACACAAGGCCAAGACGTCCTGGCTGAGCTGGTAATAGTTGGTCAGTGGATTACCATCATATTCTTCTGACAAAGAGAAGAAAATTCACACTTTACTCCCAGAAGTGCTAGAGAAGTGCTTCATTTTTCCATCATCTATGTACCTTATTTTGACTTGTTTACATCTAAAGAGACGTAAGTAATAGATAGAAGAGACTGCCCTTAAAAACAGCAAGCTTGAGAAATGTAAAGGCTCTTAGGGTTCAACAAGCTCAACTCAACGCCTTTCATTTTATAACTGAGGAGATCCAGTGCTAAAGAGATCACAATCCTATCTAGATATTCTGGCGGTAATAATAACTAGGATTAGCATACAGGTTTTCTACCTCTAAGCTTCCTGAATTTTCAACAGTAAGATAGAAATGATAGAAAGAATGTTAGATTAGAGGCATCTTCAAAGGGGATGGGATTTGAGGGACTCAAATACTGGGTAGGAGTTGAAATAAACACAATGATGATCAAGAATAATGATGATTTTGTCTTCTTTACCTTATGTATGGTGTACGCTTTGGAGTACACCATCTTTGGAGGGGTTGATAGAGAACTTGAGGGGAAAAGGGTGAGAAAGAGCAGCAGTGGAGCTCACTGGACACTGATGAAAGTGAACTATACAACTCATGGGTGGAGATGGGAGGGAAGGACTGGGAGAGAGTGAGGGAACAGAAGACACTGGGCAAAAGGAAATGTACTCATTACCTGACTGGTGTAATTTTAATCCATCTGTACATCACCTCTATAAAAACAATAAAGTAAATTAATAAAATATAAAAACAACGTACTGCATGAGCAGACATCAGAGCCAACCACTTTATAAAAGTGATAAAGGATTTTGGCCATCTTTAGCCTTTATATTGACATCACCTCCTCTGCCATTAATAACACAATGTGCCCTATTGTTCATCCGTTTCTGTGAAGTTATTATTTGTCTAAAAATCAAAGCTCAGGAAGGACTGAAAAATTGTGTCTCGTGTGTGTGTGTGTGTGTGTTATGAAAATTCAACATTCATGCTGAAAGACGGGAAAAGGGAAAGTGATCTGCAAAGATACAATGAAATAAATGGGAGAAAGAGGAGTAGAGTGGGCTGAGACCATACAGTTCTAATACAGGGCAAGAGAAGACAAGGCAGTTCAGAGTCAGAATATTTGACTATTACCCATATTTTCCAATTCTGCTTTGAATTTATTTTCCAGATGGCCAAGTAGGTGCTGATTAAATATGAAGGTTTCATCATGGGTATGACATGCTCCCAAAGCCAGTATGATCAGAGCGAGCTGTCCTGAGCTTAAATCCAGTCCTGAAAAGTTTTACAAGGTACACACCTATGAATTCTTTTATCCTCTTATCTCCCTTGTGACTTATAGTTTATTCTTTTTTCTGTTCTCTATACTATAATTTGGTCCTCCCTCCCTCCTCTCCCTTTCTTTTTCCCTTTCCTTTCTCTTCCTTTCTTTCCATTCTTGCCTTTCTCTCTCCCTGCCTTCCTCCCTCCCTCTCTCCCTTCCTTCCTTCTTTTCTTCCTTCCTTCCTCCTTCTTTCCTCCCTTCCTTCTTTGTACTGAGATTTGATCTCAAGGATCTATGCTTTCTAGGCAGGTGCTCTACAACTTGACCCACACTCCCAGTCATTTTGTCTTTTAGTTCTTTCTCTTTTTTTTTTTTTTTTGTCGGTTGTGGGGCCTGAACTCTGGGCCTGGACACTGTCCCTCAGCTCTTCAGCTCAAGGCTAGTGCTCTACCACTTGTGCCACAGTGCCACTTCCAGCTTTTTCTGCTTATGTGGTGCTGAGGAATTGAACCCAGGGCATCATGCATGCAAGGCAAGCACTCTACCACTGGGCCACCTTCCCAGCCCATAGTTATTTCTTGAATTAGGATCTTGCCCTTATGCCTGGGCTTGCCTGGATTTTGATCCTCCTATTTATGCCTCAGACATAGCTGGGTTGACAGGTAGAAACCACCACACTCAGCTTCTTGTGGTTGAGATGTGTGGGTGGTCTCACAAACTTCTCGCTCAGGCCGGCCTTTGACTGTGATCTTCCCAATCTCCACCTGGCAAGTAGCTAGGATTACAGTTGTGAGCCACTGTACCAAGATGCATTATGAGATGTCTTAGTTGTGATTCATAGCCCTCTATGCTTGTAAACTCAGCTAGCTTATGATACTGCCTTAATGGATAAGAATCTATATCTTCTTTTGCTTTCTCCTGTTGCCTGTCGAAAGGAAAATGGTTTCAGGGATCCAAAGATGCAAGAGCTAGGTCTTGATATTTCAAGACACCTGTCATCTACAGTTTTGAGCAGTTGGATATAGCTAGAGCAAGGGTTTGTGAGAGGTCCTCTTGGCAGTTAGATGAATCTTTTCTTTTCTTTTCTTTTTCTTTTTGTTTTTTTTGCCAGTCGTGGGGCCTGAACTCTGGGCCTGGGCACTGTCCCTCAGCTCTTCAGCTCAAGAATAGCACTCTACCGCTTGAGCCACAGTGCCACTTCTAGCTTTTTCTGCTTATGTGGTACTGAGAAATCAAACCCAGGGCCTCATGCATGCAAGGCAAGTGCTCTACCACTGAGCCACCTTCCCAGTCCCAGATAAATCTTTTCTTAACACTTCCAGAGGCTTTAGGTACTCACCTCTCCTTTCCACAGTGTTTCTGACTTGTTGGGAGAGCGCTTCGATTATGGTTTGGTTTTGGTTCTGGATCCCAATGAGTCTGAGGGAAAGCAGGACATTGGCAGACTGGGTCACACTGGTGTATTTTGGCTGGATCATTGTATCCAACAGAGGGTCCAGTTGGATGTGGACTCGCTCACTCACCTCTGAGGCAGAGGAGGAAAAGAAATGCTATTACAATAAGATTAAGAGATAGATACGGGTGACTTCACATCTTCCTTATTTTAATTAAAAACTAAGGATCAGTACTGACATGAGGGGCTCAAGGCCAACCCTGGATTTAAACCCCGGTCCAGCTTCTGTCATCCCATGGTTGTTTCTGTATTGTCCATGTTCTTAGCTGTAGCCTGCCATTGTGAATTCAGCTAGCCTATACCACAGTACTGATGTGTGAGAAACACAAACTGAAAATGGGAAGGCTAGAAACAAGAGTTATGACAATAGAAACAGCTATGGCATGGACCTAGTTCAACCCCCCCCTACCCCCCCCTCCCACCGTGGGTTGAATAATGGGGATGGTAGTAGAATCTGGAGTTTCTCCCAGTCTCCACTCATGCAGACATGACTCCTTCTAGTTAAGTTCAGCTTCTAACTGGAAGTGTCCCTGTCTTTTAAGAGCTCAGTGCAAGCTTGCCCTTGTGTGGCAGAAGAATCTTAGTCCTGCCTGAGCATCTAGTATAATTTCCTATAGAGAATGTCCTAAAACAAACTTCCATCTCTAAAACAAAGACACAAGTCCTCTGCCTCCCAATCTATGACCTTGTCGACTTTGTCCATTCAGTTCTTTCCTATCTTTTTATACCTCTAGTGGGTGAATGCTGGCAGAATGAAGGCAAAAACTCTATGGTCCACAGGCAATCCACCCTCAAACTGAACAGGTATGGAGGTCATTATGCAGTAGTATACTTTACAAGAGGGACACCTCAAAGTTTAGCCTATAACCATACCCAAACCCAAGGCATGCATGGAGAAAAGTCTGATTTTACTTTATTTGTGGCAATAGAAGAGAATCAACCCAGAGCCCCAAAGCACTGGAGGAGAATGCAGGGAGTTATGTATCACTTGAAATTCAAACTAAAGTCTCAATTTAAATTGTGGATAAATTTGAGAAGTAGCCAAGAATCTTACCAGTCTTCAGATTACCTCGTGTGAACACGTTCTCCCAGATTCAGTCAGCTTTGGTTGGGCTACTTGTTCCTTAATGTACAAGTTCTGGAACTTTCTTTTTTTAAATTTAATTATAATGTACAAAGGAATGAGCATTCCACATGCCAATTTATGAGTACTGTACCTCTTGACCAACTTTACCCCTTCCATCATTGTCCTCCATTCTTCTCAACCCTACCCATCCCATCCATTTTCCTAGTTTCATAGGATATACATTGGATTGACGACTGCATTCTACCCCCTTCCTTTGTCATTCATCTACCCAGCTCCCTTTAAACTCCCACTTTATACCTCAAGTACCAGCTTTCTAGTATTCAGTTTGTTGGATTGTAAGTTAGTTGCTCAAAAGAGTTATACCATTTGAATTCTCCACATGCACATACTTCAGTCAATATGTTTCTGTACATGCACCTATGGCCCTACATATGTTTATAAGTTTGACTGAACTTCCACATATGAGAGAAAATGTATGTCCTTTGTCTTTCTGGGCCTGACTAAAATTGAATAACCACATCTTCTAGATGTGGAGCAAAAAGTCACTTAATAAGAGGTAAAATTCTGTGTATATTCTTGCCTCTAATGCTACTTATCTCACTATACCCAGAGGATCCAGGAAATGTGATTTCCTGTGTCCACTTTCCTTTACTATTAAAGAAACAGACAAAAGATCTGAATGGCATGATTGTAGGCTTTTTGCAGATACAAAAGGACAATTGTGAGCCATCTCTCCGAGATTTTGTGCAAGCATTCATTCTCCCTCCTCCCCCCAACCCCCCAGCAGGTTTTCTGGCATTGGAGCTGGACTTTTAGTTCCTGGTCACCAAGTGACATCAGCTTCCTTAGCCTCTAGAAACAAATCATTTTTTGTTCAAGGATCTAAAGTTCAAAGTCACTAGGGAGATCTTTAATTCTTAAGATCCAACAGGGGAAATGACACTCCAGGAAGAAAAAGTAGAGCTGGCAGATTTTGTACTTTTAACCTGTTTGAAGGCAAGTTTGTCTTGTGTGGTATTGATCTTCTTGTATAACCTACAGAGTACTAGGAAGATGAAGCTGTATCATGGAAGTCATCTTCGGACAGGGTTAAAGGTCAAGTCCAGGATAGAGAATTACCTGCCAGCTATAGTAGACTGTACAAGATTAGTGCTTTAACACTCTCTTCTCATTATCCTACACTCCAGGATGAAGATAAGGAAATTTAGGAAGACTGAGCCATTCAGATACTAAGAAGATAAACAAATCCAAGCTCAAGCTTGTTTTTTTCCCTCTTTCTCTCACTTTAGGTTTTCTTTTTTTCCTGTCTCAGGGCTTGAACTCAGTGCCTAGGCACTGTCTCTGAGCCTCTTTGGCTAGTTCTCCTACCACTTGAGCCAGAGCACCACTTCCAGCTGTTTCTGAGTAGTTTATTGGAGCTAAGAATCTCACAGACTTTCTTCCCTGGCTTTGGACTGCGATTCTCCTCAGATCTCTTCATTGTTTGAACAAATATTATTATCATTTATTTAGAAGCTAATCTAAGTGGGTTAAACTATAGGAAAATAGATTGCCTCTCATAATCAAAAGATAACTTTCTGGAGCCAGGAATTAGACAGTCACTGGAAATGAACTTTTGAAATAGAACGTTACTGAGTAGGAATGCTATGGAAGAGAGGATCAGTGCCTAGGAAGACCCATCAGACGAGTTAACAGAGAATCTGGGATGAATACACATTCCGGCACTTTCCTTATCCAGCCCAGATCTCCTTTCCATCCCTCACAGAGGTCAGGCGCATAGAGAACTGACATCAGGTCTTTGTGAACTGCACAGTTCCCTGTCTACCCTCAAGAGACCATAGCCCACTAGACTAATGTTAGCTCAAAATTGTACTCACCGCAGATCTCGCATAGCTGGCTTGGAATAAGAGAAAACAACAGAAGCCCCGAGAAGGGCAACTGGTGTGTTGGTTTCATCCCTCCAATGGTGTCCGGGAACTCCAAGGCCCAGTCTCGCTCTGTAACGTGGAGGGCTTGGCTTGGGTGGTGGGTAATGAGAACTCACTCTGTCAGGTTGTCAGAGCCTCTGTCACTCGAGCAAATGTTGAGCAATGTCAGGGAGGTGTGGTCAAGTGCCTTTGTCCAAGTAACATGATAAATCAGGAAGAAAGTGTGAAAGGTATGGTTAGAGAGAAATGAGGAAATCATTTCTCACTGTTTCCTGTCCTGGACCTTCAGTACTACCTGTCTTCAGCCCAATGGGTATAACCGAGGTGAATAACTATTTTCAGAAATGTTTCCATCTGAACCATTCTATTTGGGTTCCATTTTATTTGCTGTCCTGAGTAATTAGATTTGATGGGGGGAAAGGGCATCAAAAAAGGAATGTAGAAATTGTTAAGGATAAAATTAGATCAGGCAGAATTAGGAAGGTTGGTCCTGGGAAGACTCTGGTATGGTAGGTTTTGACCCTAAGATTTTCCTCCTGAGATAGATAATGTCATAAGAGTTTCTTAGCTCAGAAGGAAAGCCAGAGAAATTTACAGCAAATATGGATTTCTACCCCCACTGGACAGTTGTTACATGCTATAGGTAAGAAGCATTGCCTACCAGTGTTCTTTCTCTTGCATTCTACTGGAGAAGATGTCATCTTAGCTGTGGACTTGGTTAGCATGTATGACCCATCATTCACACTGTATCTCAGACATAGATACATGGTACACTGTTCATAGAATCTCAGACGCACTGACAACTTGACTGGTCTAGGGTGCCACGATGAACAACTAGGTTTGCCTGTGACAGTATTTGCAGATGAGATTAAAGTCTGAATCTGTGATTCAGTCAAGTAGGCTTTGCTCTCTACTGTGAGTGGGCACTTACGCAATTTGTTTGAGGCCCAAATGGAACAAAGTGTTTGGTTCTGGCCAGCTTGCTTCAGCTAGGGTGTTTTACCATCCTCAGAGCTTCATTCCATCACTATTTATGGTTGGTTCTGAACCAACCATACTTTCATTTGTTTGTTTTTGTGCTCTTCATCCTGCCCTTACAGCAACATTTTTTCAAACTTGATTAATAACATAGACCATAGCTAAAGGAAAAGAGTTCTCAAGGGAACACAGTTTAAAATACTCTGCCTTACACCTGTAATCCTTGCTACTCAGGAGGCTGAGATCTGAGAATCACAGTTTGAAGCCAGTCTGGCAGGAAAGTCTGTGAGACTCTTATCTCCAATTAACCACCAGAAAACTGGAAGTGGAGCTGTGGATCAAAGTGGTAGAGCACTAGCCTGAAGTGTAAGAACTCAGGGACAGCACCCAGGCCCTGAGTTCAAGCCCGTGACTGAGCAAATAAAACAAAATAAAATAATGTATACATTAAATGTTCGTTCCTGGTTAAGACATGAAGGCTTCTACTCATGTGAAAAGTCCAGACTCTGAAACGTGATCTGTAAGACCTCTCAATGGAAAGTTCCTCTGATAAGCCAACTTCCTTCCTGCCACAGGGCTTTTATTTGTGTGGCTTCCTGTCTTGAATTCTTGCTTCACATGGTGTCCTTCTATGTGAGTGCTGCATTCTAAGGGATCTTCTCTCTGTACTTCCAGTCCTGGTATGTCCTTATTAGCACCTTTCTTGATGTTCTTTGCTTTCCTTTACAGCTCTCATGAGAACTGCATTTACTTATTCGCTGAAATATGTACTGCCTGTATCTATTTAGTGTTTAGCTCTTTGTCAGATTCTGAGTTCCTCCAAGGTAAAGGAAATTTTTTTTCTTACCCACAACTTCACCCCCTCACCTACCCTACCACACTGACCAAATGCCTATGACATATGAGTTTGTCAAATATTTGCGGAAAAACTCCTTAGATCTGTAAACCAAATAGTAATTAATAAATAAGTCTTTTTCCGAATAGAAAACATACTGGTTTTATTTTTAAAAATTGATTTTGTTCTTTGTATTTTCCCCCTATTGCTTTTCTGCCTTTTGGCTAAGATCAAGCGTACTATTTTTTCCCCTATTTTTCCAATTATTAAATCATTTAGATCAGCAAAAAAAAAAAAAAAAAAATACTGTGAGTGTTTGGAAAACCGGGGCTGGAAAAAGTGGTTTGTAAGCCTATATGACTTTAAGTATAAAATTGCCCCAAACAGAATGCCTCTTCTAATTTCCTGTGTTTTTCAGGGCCATTACTTATCAATTGACATGTAAAAGAATTTGTAGGGTTCCAATCCTTCCTTTTATATGTGATTTTGGCCTTTTTTGGACATTTTTTTGGATTGTTATTGTTATAGGTGATATACTAACAGGGGTTTACAGTTACATACATCAGGTTAGTGAATACATTTCCTTTTTGGATAGTGTTACCCTTTCCCTCAGTCTCTCCAGTTTTTTTTCTTCTTCTTCTTCTTCTTCTTCTTCTTCCTCTTCTTCTTCTTCTTCTTCTCTTCTTCTTCTTCTTCTTCTCTTCTTCTTCTCTTCTTCTTCTTCTTCTTCTTCTTCTTCTTCTTCTTTCTTCTTCTTCTTCATTCATTCTTCTTCCTTCTTCTTCTCCTCTTCTTCTCTCTTCTTCTTCTTCTTCCTCCTCCTCCTCCTCCTCACCTCCTCCTCCTCCTCCTCCTCCTCCTCCTCCTCCTCCTCCTCCTCCCTCCTCCACTCCCACCTCCTCCTCCTCCTCACTCACCTCCTCCTCCTCCTCCTCCTCCTCCTCCTCCTCCTCCTCCTTCTTCTTCCTTTAAGTAGTGTACAAAGGAGTGTCAATTCAACACATCATATTATGAGTACAATGCATCTTGATCAATGTCATCTCTCTATCATTCTTTCTCTTCTCATCTCTTCCAATCTTACCCATCACCTCAAGTTATCTAGTTCCATTTTACATATGAACATTGAATATTATGACTGTATTTTCTTACCCTTCCTTTCTCCATTTGTCTACTCCCCCTAGACTACTTCCCTACCCTGACAACACATTTCAGTTTCCTGGTATTCATTTTGTTAAACTGTAAGTTCATTGTTCAAGAGTTATGCTATTACAATCTGCCATGCATGTATACCGTACTTTAGTCCATTTGTTTGTGTATTTATGCATAAGACCCTGTATATACTTTCATCTATGTTCATAATTTTGATCTAACTTCCATATATGAGAGTGAAAAACCTAAGCAATTCCATTTTACTTAAGACCCCATCTCAGTTATGCAACTTAACTCGTGGCCCACTTTAGCCCCAGTGCTAAGAATTTATGACAGAAAGCCATGCACAATTCTTGGAGCCATAGATGGCGTTTGCTTAAGGCAGGTATTAGCCTCCGAAGTGGTGTTGCCCCCCCCAGTGACTTAGGGCTAAAAGTTTCTGTTCCGAGGAAAACCATATAATTTTCTTTTTTGGGGGGGAGGGGTCCAATCGTGGGGCCTGAACTCTGGGCCTAGGCACTGTCCCTCAGCTCTTCAGCTCAAGGCTAGTGCTCTACCACTTGAGCCACAGCGCCACGTCTGGCTTTTTTTCTTTTTGCTTATGTGGTGCTGAGGAATCAAACCCAGGGCCTCATGCATGCAGGCAAGCGCTCTACCACTGAGCTACCTTCCCAGCCCCAAACCATATAATTTTCTGACCAACCGGTTCTTCAGAGTTCAGGGCCGAGACATGCCATGCATTCTGTTGGTCCAGGTGTGACTCAAAACCGTTTTTGGTCAAGCTATGGACCAAGGATATTTTTCTGTAAAGGACAACCAATCATATTTGCCCCGGCTTAGCTTGCTTTAAATGTTAACCAATCATGTAATTTCTTATGTAAAAGTTCCTTAAAGTTGTTTGTTCAATACTATAAGAACTGTGCTGATTCTATGCTTGGGGGCCTCTTAGCGTCATTGGTTAACAAGTGCGCGGAGGACCAAGCTCCAGCTTGCAATAAACGATTCTTTGCTGTTTGCATTGATCGTGGTCTCTGGTGGTCTGTGAGGGGGCATCCAAAAACGGGGTACTTCAGAGAGAAAACACGTACCCTTGGTCTTGTTGAGATTGTGGGCTCTTTCTGAACAAAAGTGAGGTAGGTCCAAAAAATGTCTTTTGTGTTTTGTTCTACAAAGGTATAATTTGAAGGTGGCTGAGCCATTGTTTCGAATGAAAGTAACTTGTCGGTCCATTTTTCTGACTTCTGAAGTGGTGTTACTTTTGCTCTTTTGCTCTCCATCTCCTCCAATGCTAACAGTTTATCTAATTCATTCATATGCTTGAGAAAGAAAGAACTCTTTTTCTGAATGTGTGTACTTTTCTTTGAGTAGTGCTCGTGCCCCTCAGCCTTCCTAGAGAAGGCGACTTCCGTGTTTGAGGTGTCGTCTTCTTCTTGTGCTCTCCCAAATTCCTGCTTGTAATCCAGCCTCTTGCTGGATGGATGCTCCATTTCCCTCACCAATGATCGGGTGTTAACTCTAGATCAAGTTGTGGAGACAAAGCCCTTCATTCCTTCCCTTCTCACTTATTATTCTAAGTCATGAGGTTGCTGCTACACTTGGAGTCATATAATAAGTCCTTGCCCAAGTCCCAGATTTGCACTCTAGTTGTAGAGCAACTACGGCTCACATTAATGCATTGCACGATTCAAAAATCTAGAAGAGAGGATTCAGAACATCCTCATAATCAATGATTTATGAAAGAAAGGGTGAATCTGATCAGGGTGCATTGTAAGCAAATATAGATTTGTCAGAATAACTTAGAGGTGATGTTTAATCACCCTGTCACTGAGTGTGGGATTCAGAAAGAGTGGCAGCCATTTCAAATAGTAAATTATTCTCTAGACCTTGAAAAGGCACTTTGCATGCCATAGTGCAAAATAGGGACAGCCAAGCCAAGATGAAAAAAACCCACTCATTCTTTGGATGCTAAGTGCTACTGTCAGAATACAGAGACTATGGGGAGCCAATGGGCGTGAAGAGCTCCTTAGAAGAGGAAAATATTTTCACCCACACACACCCACACACACCTACACACACGCACAC